AGGTTAAAGAATGAAAGAGGAGGAGGTTTCTTAAATGAGATCCTAACATTAAAATCATTAAACAATCATTTCTCTTCTATACTAAAATTTTGGGAAATTTTACTTAGCTTCTGTGAATCTCTTTTGTAAAAGTTTCATTTGAAAAGAAGAGATGTTAAAATATATTTCATCTCACTAGATAATTCTAATAATTAAGCTTAATATAGTACATAAAATTTCTAGTAGAGTACTTAGCATACAGTAGGCACTGGATGAATTTTAGTTTGCTTTGTTTCCCTGACAGTTCATAGCAACATGTGTTACAGAAGGCAGTTCCTGAGGAACCTGGTGTTTAAAAGTAGTAGGCAACAGATACAAGAGATGCTGTGTTTTGTGGTCATTCAGTGACTAAATTTTTCCAGAGCTCAACTTTACTGTGATGGTAACTCTTTGGGGTCCATAGCAATAATAATTGTTTTGTAATTCAGAACGTAACAACCACCATATACTCACGTGCTTGCTGTCTGTGAGAGAATCAATAGGCGCTTATTATGCTTTTTAAATTTAAATCTCATAGCAGTACTACAATGCTTAGTGTAAAAGTTTCACCAGTAGGTAGAGGGCTTTTAAGTGTGAGTTTTCAGGCTGTGATATGAAGATGCAAGAAATGTTTCTGTTTGAATAAATTTATGACATTTTATTATGCCAAGTCTCAGTAATGAGGCCAAGGCAGGAGAAAAAGAAGGGTGGAATAGGGGAAGGAGGGCTGCGATATAGGGAAAAAAAGAAATGGAGGGATAAGACTCTGTCTTGTGGATTAAGTGTCAGTAACCATGGAATAGGTGGAGTTATGGAAATATGGTCATTCGTCTCACATTGTTCTACCATCATGTTGACTCGATCGGCATATTAAAGGCATCATTAAGGACAAATAATACTTGACCACCAGCTGAAAGTTTTAGTTAGTAAATTTTAAAAGTTCACTATATTTCATTTTATAGTACTTCCGGGTTAACAACTTGCTGGAGTTAGCCATCATTTTCTCCATTCAGAAAGTAAACGCTATGACAATATGATGTCTCCAGAAAGCTAGGTGGTTTGGCAGTGACGCTATGCCTGGGGTAGCTTAACCTCAGCTGCAGCTGTGTTTTCATTTCATGTCACTATTGTCCCTACATGTCATCATAGGCTGGCACTACCAAAGTGTGCTGAGTTCTACATCCATGTCTGTTTATCTATATCTGTATATTTGCATTTTCCATATCACTAGTCAACATTTGTTTTAAAATTAGAACAATCATAACACTCCATCACTCACTTATACCACGTGTGTCTACACAGCCACACAGTTTAAAACCCTGTAGGAATCTCTGGATTCCCTATGGCTGACTTATCTTGCTGAAATTACTTGGTAAAGCCTAGGAGCATCTGAATTTCCGTTACTTTATTGGTGTACCTCGTTAATGGTATCACTTGATTTAGCATACCAGTAGTACCTTTTCGCCACAGGTGAGAAATTGAAACGTTCAAGGCCAATTAATTGCGGGTGTTTCAAGTTGGTTAGTGCAGCTGTAATGGTGAGTGATGCAGGAAGAGGGAGCGGTCAGTGAGAGGCTCCTCTTGCTCCTGATGAGAACCGATGATCCAATCTTAACTCACTAGACTTACGCTGATTCTTTTTGTTTTTTCACTGTGCTTCTCTCATGTGTTCATGTTTTAAATACTGATCTATAAAGGAATGTCAAAATGCCACAGAAACATTATGCAATTCTGTGTTAAAAATGTATCTTCATTACTGACTTTAGACCATTAAAATTAACTAGAAAGAGCAAGAAACAAAATAACTCATTATTTTCTCAAAGGTATAAGGTGATGTAGATAAAATTCCAAACATAGAAATTCCAGGTAAAGGTGATGGCTGGCTGGGGGCACTTCATTCATTCATCTCCAACTTTGCTATGCAAAAAATGATAAAAATGCAGAGAGATAGGCAGTTGTAACACATATGCACCTATGCTGCAGATGGACCAAGGGTGCTTGGTGAACATCAGACCCTGGAAGACTTTCAACTTCCAAACTTTTGTTAGGCGCTGAGGCAGAATTGTAAAATTAGATAGGACAGTAGAGGGAAGTTTTTACCCACTGACCACTCCCATCACGTACCCATATTTCAAAGACATGGTCTACTGTTAACTCTAGAGAGGAAGGTTGACCCTACGGTCCGGTAGCCAAGTCCTGAGATTCCCCAACCCCTATTGCTGCTGTCTCTCCTACAGCCATTGGGAAGCACTGATTCCCATTTATACATTGTAACAATATGGGGGACACTGCTGTGTCCTAGTTAAGAGCACTGTGCCTCTTGTTGCTCTGCAGACAGGCTGCATGAGCAGTGCCCTTTGTGGACAGTAAAGCCATGCTAGGTCAATGACCCCAAGACACCCAAAATGCAGCCAGGGCCCATGTCTACCCAACAAGCCCTCTTACTTAAAATACAAAAATTTTTCATTCTAACCTAAACATGGTAGATGGTGTTGGTAACCAAGAGAACTCCACTCATCCAGGTCACTAGCCAAAACCACAGGTTCTTCAGGGGCAAATACAGAGAAAATGAAAAGTAAAAGCACACCAATAAAAACTGCACAATGTATCAATATTTTGGATCAATAATGAGAGCGTTGTACTTTTGATGTACAAAGTGGAAGACACTTTTGAACAATGATTCCCTCCAAGAAAGAAGGAAATTTGAAAAAAAATTATGTGGTTCTAAAGACAATGTAGTAAGTAATCTCGGGACTCATACCCGAATACAATCAGGGGTTAGTGTGATACTGTCAAGGGAGGAGACTGTTAGAATATAATACTTTAAAAAAAATGCTGTCTTAACTCAGTTTGAGGCCCTGACTAGAAGCTGGTCAGTCCCCTTCTTGAGCAGCTGATTATGTCCAAACCCAACCCCTTCTTTTATTGCCCTCACACCCTCTGTGGCCACTATGCATCAACCCTGATCATCCTGGAGCCAGGGCCAGACACCCGGACACAGCCCCTCTTCCCTGGAGCTCACAAAACATAGCTTACCCCACCCCGCTTGCCGTACGTGAGCTGCCCTCTACGGCTTCAACTTGCCACCCTTTCTGTGGTGGCATTTCCCTCTATGGCCCTGCCTTGCTGTCTTCTCTTCTTTGAAGCTGTAAGTGACACAGAGTTCTGCTTTTTATCTCTCAGAGTGTCACTGTGTTGTATCTGCCATCAGAAGGGTTTTTAAATCTTATTAAAGCAGTTGTTAATACAGATGTTTCCCTTTAGGTCTCACAAAGATATGTGCCTTACCGTAATAGCAAAATTGGGCATCTCTTTGTATTAGTGCCTGACTCAAGGTTTATAAAACAGGGCATGGGTGTGAAGAATAATGCTTGAATAAAAACTGTATAGAAATTTATGGTAATCTCTATCTGAAATGTCAGAAGGTATTATCAGAGGCTCAAGGTGGATGGCAAAAGAATGGGGAAAAGAAAACATGTACTAATATTCTTACATGGTACGTTATGTAACAGATACTGCATTTTAATATATATTGAATAGTAGATAATTATGGATTCAAGAATGGGATAAACCCTATTTCATGTTTTTTACAGTGACTACATAATACTTACACAGTCAGCAATGTCAGTATTACTTAAATAAATTCCTCAAATAAAACACTATTATAGTAAACTGGAAGAATGAAACGTCTTAACAAGACGTACAGTAGGTAATCACATCTGTAATTTTCTGGTGTGCATTTGGATAAAACAAAACACAATAAATTCTGTTCTGTCCATATTTCCTTAAATATACAACAGACTTCGGTTTTCACTTCTGAGTGCTCAAACACAAGTTACCATGGCTCTCCTATCCACTGTCCTCTCACCCACCACCCCCCTTCCCAGATAGGATACAACTAGTGATGTGTTGTTAAACTGGCTGGGGTGGGAGTGGATACTGATTTGCAGAGTTGGCCAATTTTCGTGGTTTAAATACTCCCACCATGGCTAATTGCAAAGATGGCTATCTTTAACAATCATCTTGCAAAATTGCTGAAAATTTAATGGTCTCTCACACGCTGTTGCAAGCCAGTTATCACTGGATAGAGCTCTCCATTATTTACTGTGTTATTATTCCCTGCACCTGCCTCACCATTAACACTTTTCATGTTGTGTTTCAAATATGCTTTTCAACGTCTTTTCCTCCCATAAGACCGTAAACACGGTGACGGCAGGAGCTATCCCTTGGCCATCTTTGTACTCCCGGGCTTAATGCTGTACTCTTTCTCTAAGGAGTCTAAACATGACCAGACATCAAAGGTAGTCTTCTAGTTCCACCATAGTGTGAAGGTAAATCAAGTTCTGGGCAAAGGGGTGTAAGGCCAAATCGTTACACAGTCATGCATGTGGGCAGTAAACATGCCAGTTCCAAGTGTTGACGTGGATGTCTGCCTGTCAAATTAAGTGGTTTAAACATTGAATGAGTTTAACCTCATTCAGTTAACTCTCCCAGTGTCAGATGGTTGAAACGCCTAGAAATGAACATAATTAACATAGGCTCCATCCATTTACATCACATTCTTGTTTCTCTATATTTTTCAAGCATTATGGAAAGTTTCGTATTTTGGAAATTTGACTTTTTTTTTTTTTTGCGGTACGCGGGCCTCTCACTGTTGTGGCCTCTCCAGTTGGGGAGCACAGGCTCTGGACGCGCAGGCTCAGCGGCCATGGCTCACGGGC